GTAGCTCGGTCTTTTAAGAGGGGGAGTGTGTTACATCTTCGACGCCACACGGGCCCTACCGGACCCGACTTAGGGTCAGAGGGACACAGTAGGGTCTAAAGGCCCAGACTTGGGGTACAGCAGGCCGAAAGGCCACATCGTTGGACCAGACCGACGGGCAGGCTCAAACGACATTCTCGTTTTGGGCCTGGCGGCGCTTTTGAGGCTGCCGCCCGCCGATCGGATCTGAATCAACAATCTTGACAGTTCAGATCACGGCCAGGCTTCGCAGCATTGAGGCCGGCCTCTTTTCCACCGGTACTAAAGACCGGTGCAGCCTCATTGTGAGGCATCAAGCCACTGGCATGCTGCATCAGCGCCAGTGCATATCGGTTCCGCGGAGGAGCAGTAGCACCAGCGCTATTCTTAGCGCAGCGCGGAGGAGCAGCAGCAGCGCAGCTAGCGCAGCAGCAGTAGCGAGCGAGGAGCCAGGCAGCGGGCAGCCATAGCCGATCTCGGCTTCCGTCAGCTGCAACGGCCAGGTACTCGGGAGTGAGGTCTTCTTCTCCCACTGCGGTCCCTGGCTCCCCTCTTCCTCACCTCTCTCCTCCTCTGCCTTCTTCTTCTTCTTCATCTCTTCTTCTTCTTCGTCTTCTTCTTCTTCTTCCTCTTCTTCTTCTTCTTCAGACTGGAGACTTGATACTAGTTGGACAGAGATCAGTGTTGGACTTCGGTGGTAAGAGGCTGTGGTACTTACGGGTTCGAGACTTGGAGATTGTTGGGGATGATACTCGGCTGCATCACAGATTGGACACCGGTTACATTAGTACTCTGTATCTCCGACATTGGTGACTTGTTGTTCACGACATTTGATCTTGTTCGATGACATTTTGGACTACCATATCGGTGACCTACTGTATTCTATCTCGGTGACATCTGGTGCTACCTACATCTCCCACCTCCTTCGTCTCTCCTCCCACCTCTCATCGGTGTATGTTTGTATGGGGCCTGAGCATCGTCTGTGCTTGGCTCAGACCCCACCATCTCACGATTGTTTGTGTGTGGAGTGATATCTGTGTGAGTCAGTCTATGTGAGTGAGTCCATTATCAGACTTCCACTGCATACATGCTCATCCTATATTGGTTGATCTTTGGTTCGGCCCCATACTCGTTGAAGTATTCACGAGTATGTAACACTGCCAACAGTTAATGAAAGTCCACGGTCGAGACTAACCATGTCATCAGGCAGACATCCCGAGACTAGCAGACAGACAGAGTAGATGAGCAAACTGCTACAGCAAGTGCTTCGCATGTACATCAGGCCAGATCAGGTAGACTGGGACAAGCTTCTACCTAAGCAAGCTAGTGCCTATAACAACTCTGTGCATCTAGCAACTAGCCGGGCACCAAATGAGTTGTCAGAGTTGCACAAGGGGTGGCATCCCTGATGACCGCTATACTGCCTGAATCCAGATCAGATTCAGAGACTGCTACCTGGGACTAGAGATTTGCAGTTCACTACGAGGAGAGACAGAAAGTTGCTGAGAACATCTGGAACGCCCAATATCAGATGGTAGAACAGCCAAATAAGCATCATAGATTGTCAAAGTTTGTTATCGGCGACCTTGTCTGGATTAGGTCGAAGGAGTTCATTCAGGAGGGAAACATTTCTCAGAAGTTGTTACCTGTTTATGGAGGGCTGTGGGAGGTTCCAGATGTCATTCATGACGCAGATGGTCCCTCTTACACCATCGATGTTCCGCTGCATCTGCACACATACCCGGTATTCCATGCATCTAAGCTGCTTCCTTATGTTACTAACGACAGGTTCTCCTCACGCAGACCCATAATCCCTCCTGTTATGGATGGACGTTATGCTATTGACCGCATCATAGAAGAAGATGTATACCGAACAAGGAGGGCTAGACCGCAGCGGCAGTTTGAAGTCAGGTTCGCCTATCAAGAGCTGGAAGATGGTCGTTGGTGCACTAAAGATGAGTTGATGGAAACTGCACCATGTATGGTATCTTACTATAACCGTGGCAGGTGAGGGGATAACCTTGTAGACAGGTGAAGATAAAATCTTTCTCGGAGGACCTTGAAATTAGGCCGGTGGGAGTGAAACGATTTCACACAGTCAGTCCCCAAAGGTCCCGGTCCCAGCGAATCCGGTAGGCTGGCCTAGGGTCTTTAGGATGAGGTCGAACGTAGGTAGCTACAGTGCCTGCAAGTGCGTCATGTCCCTAAAGTACAATTTTGCAGCAACCTTCCAACGAAAGTCGGGAACTTTCCCGAAATGGCAATATGGCAAAGGCAGAGGCCGCACAAGGCTGGTACTGATTGAAGCAGGCACGAACAGCCCACTGCAACCATATATTTTGGGCTACAGTGCCGGAAGGCATTCGTTTGTTCATTTCGCAGAATTGTGGAAGCGCTGCAAGAGCTTGTGCCGTCCAGCGACGTGGACAAAGAAGGTGTACAAGGGGGAGAAGTGGACAGCGCCTGGCTGCTACAGTCTGCCATAGCCAGGCGAGAGGGGAGAGGTTCCCCGGTGGCCATAGCTGCCCAAGATCAGAAAGGCACACCGTAGTAGCATTCAGGGTAGATCTAGGACGTTAAGAGAGGAACGGTGAGCTAGGAACAGTGAGTGAGGAAGAGTGAGCAATGAACAGTGAGTGAGGAAGAGTGAGCAATGAACAGTGAGTGAGGAACAGTGTGGCATACTGCGCAGCCACACGGGCCTGCAGGGCCTGTCCCGCAGTCTCAGCCTAAAAGCCTAGAAAAAAGGGCTTACAGGCCCCGTGTCGTTTCAGCCTGAAAGACTGAAAAACGAGGGCCTGCAGGCCATATGTCGTTTCAGCCTAAAACAGGGCCTTTCAGGCCCTGAGTCTTTTCAGCCTGAAACGGAGGGCCACTTTCGGGCCCTCATAAGATCGACCTGCCCTAACACTCAGGCACCAAACCAGGGTTTCGGAACAGGCTATTTTTGGCCTGTTCCCCACGCCAGCCTCAGCAGGATCTGCAGCGGCAGGCCCTGGCTCACYTCGGCATTGGCAAGAGCAGCCTCCTGGACTGCCCCGCCCTGCAGCTGCAGGCAGTCAGGAGGCAGGCCGAGTAGTACATAGGGAGTTCCCATGCGCTTCACGGGAAGTCAGAGGCCGAGGCAGTAGTAGTCTTCAGGATTCGGCAGCAGCACTCTGGAGGAGCGTTGCAGGAGTAGCTTAGCGCTAGCAGTAGTCTTCAGCGCTGGGCGCTAGTAGCAGTAGCGGTAGTCTTCAGCGCTGGGCTCTAGTAGAGGTAGAGAAGGTGAGAGAGAGAGATGGCTGGCGGAGGCCAGGGAGACTTACCTGTGGCGCCATAGCTCCAGCTTCATCTTCAAGGTACCTGCGTCAAGGCGCCAACTTCACAGCTAGTACTGGACTGAGAGAGAGAGAGAGAGAGTTCTTCTTCTTCCTCTTTTAAGTCCAACATCTCTTCTTCACCCTCTCACTACCTGACTTCTCAGTATCAGCGGACTACGACAGAGAGAGAGAGAGTTGTGACTTGAGACTTGACGACATTGGATCCAGACTCGACGTTGGGATTCAGACATTTTGATGAGGGACTATTTGGGCCTGTGCCGAAGACTTGGTGTTGACGACATTCCCATCTTCCCCTCTTCTTCGTCTAACCCCCCTCTTCTTCGTCTGTGTATGGTTGGGGACTGGCGCATTCTTCCTGTGTGAGTGCCAGGCCCCTTCACACCATGGAGTGATGATGATGATGTATGTTCGGGGCTGCATTCCAATATTGATTGTTTGGATCATTGGTATCTAAGTCTTCCACAACGCTATCTTGTACTTTGTGAGAGAGGTCGGTTCTTGTTCTGGTCTGCACCGTTACAGTATGCAACAGTTTGGTATCGGAGCGGACCTCTCATTCACAAGTAACCAGCTTGCTTGATCTATTGATCACTCATTAGTAAATCAATTAGGACTTCGTCAAATCTCTGAAATTTTTTCTCGCAACAAATATCTGAAAATTTCTGATAATCGCATTTCATTTTACCTGAAAATTTCTGATATTAGCATTTTGTTTTCATGCAACAAATTTCTGAAAATTTCTGATAATCGCATTTCGTTTTATCTGAAAATTCCTGATAGTTGCATTTCGTTTCTCTGATATTCGCATACATAGCCGGAAATTTCTGATGTTAACATTTCGTTTTCTAGGCATATTAGGATAATGATAGAGGTGGTCATATTCTCGGAAACCGGATTTATTCTTTTCTGAAAATCGAATCTCCATTCTACGTCGCCATTTTTTTTTTCTTTCGAAAATCGAAATCTTGCGAAGCCTACCAGCATTTCGTTTTAGGCATATTAGGAGGTTGCCATATTCTCAGAAACTGGATTTAGTTCTTTTCTGAAAATCGCATCTCTACTCTATTTCGCACAATTTTTTTTTTCTTTCAAGATCGCATGTTTGTGAAATCCGAAACTTTGCGGAACCTGGCCTGCCTCACTCATAGCAGATCGACAGATATACAAAAAAAAAAAAAAAGGGGGTGATCCTCTTCTTTTATTTTTTATTTATTTTAGTCTGTTGATTAGGACTGGGAGGAAAGTATACATGGGTTGGTTACCTACCTGCGTTTTCCCTCCCACCCACCCCTTTGCATGCATTCCCGGTTTGGTACAGTGCCACGTCAGCAGTGCCACATCAGCAGTGGCACGTCAGCAACAGTGCCACGTCACCAGTGCCACATCAGCAACAGTGCCACGTCAGCAGTGCCACATCAGTAGTACCACGTCAGCAGTGCCACAGTGCCACGTCAACAGTGCCCCGCCACCATGACGGGCTCAGCTCTGGGCATGCCAGGCCAACTCCCCAATGAGTCCATTGCCGAGTACTGACAGCGTTTCGAAGCTCAGCTCGCACTGATCGAGGCTGAGGAACAGCGTCAGGCGGCAACCGAGGCTGCCCGCCTACAAGCTGAAGCGGCGACAATAGTTGAAAAGCAGCGAATTCAAGCCGAAGCCGAAGCAGATACCTAGGCACACCGCAAGGAGGCCCAGGATCTGTTATAGCGGCATGAAGCCACCAGCATCGAAAAGCTCAAGTTTTGGCATTTTGAACCATCTGAGCAACACGACGTCGCGACACCGGAAGAGAAGCACAAGGAGTTTCTGGCCAAACTCGTGACCCGGTTGGTTTACACTTGTAACCACCTGCAGTCCGAGCTGGCGAATCTCCGACGGGCGGTGCAGAACCACAAGGGTCTGCACGAGGATGCTACATGGGCACTTGATTCCCGTGTACAGGACTTGGAGCAAGGTACACCAAAACCAGATCCTGGCGAGTCCAGCAGTGCACCCTCTACCCGCCAATTGGAGGAACGAGTTGACCACGTAGTCGCAATGCTTGGCGGCATCAGCACCTTCGCTGCACCAGCCACCATCAGCAAGCAGCTGGACACCTTGAAGACCGAGGTTCAGCAACTGCACCAGCTGCCCAACAAGGATGGCAACACCGCGCAGCACTACAAGATGCCGACATTCCAAATCGAGAAGTTCGATGATTATACGCATCAAGACTCGGTCCTCTGGTGGGAGGGTTTTACGACGCAACTTCGAATTCTTTTCGTCCCCAAGCACTCGTACATCGGTGCGTTGTTCCTCAACTCAAAAGGCGGATGCCAGGTCAGCCACCTGGCAACCATTCACGGTGTCCAGGTCGTAGATCTGAAAGATAAGATCTCTTGGGAAGAGTTAACATGGCTATGGAAGAAGCGGTTCATCGTGGGCGACGCTCCGGCGCTCGCCATCAACCGCCTCTTCGCTATGACGCAAGGCAACACATCGACACGCTACTGGCTCACGGAATGGCAAAAGATCGCGGTGACGCCCGATCTCGAATTGCCATTTTCGCATCTGCGCCGCGAGTTCTACAACCAGTCATGTGCCGCCTTGAGCTTGGCACTTGGTGATCGCGAGCAATACGCAACCTTCGCCGAAATCATTGACAAGGCAAGGAGGATCATCAAGACCAATAAGGCGGCTGCACACGAAAAGTCAGCATGGCAACCAACCTATGTGGAGAATGGTAAATTTGGTCCGCGTCCGCAACATGTCGCTGCAGTCCACACGGACAACATTGTGGAAGACCCGACAGGCACCCAAGCATCACGTGAGGGAGATCAGGTTGCTGCTGTCCAGCCGCGAAGCAACAACAACTCCCGAGGAAAAGGGAAGGCGAAAACCGCATCGCCGGCCGGAAACGGACAGCCAGCACCATGGGTCAAGTTTCACTTGACCGAGGCCGAATACAAGTGGCGCGGCCGATATGGCTGCTGCTATTGGTGCAACAACACCAAGCACAAGACCTCCCAATGCTCGGATCAAGGCAAGGAGGATGTTCGGCCTCGCATCAACTCGGGAAACTGAGTTGCGCGGGAGGTGAGGCGACTCCACCTCTCACTCCGCCAGATTCGACCGCCTTGCTAGCGGCCTCTTACACATCTGGGGAGGATGCGAATGTCGCAAGTCCTCGGTTTACTTACGAGGATTATGCTGTCCACTTGGTCCCACCGTTGGACCAACCACTCCACGTGCAACAATCCACCGCATGCACGGTTTCACTACCATCGGCAACCGAGTCGACAACTTCGCCGCCATCTATCGCCGAGGATTCGACAACATGGTCAAGACTTGAAGAGCTCGACTCGTTGACGTTTGCAAACTTCCAATGGATGCCCCTTCCCGAGTCCGGTCGATTGCCGAAACCGCATTGCAACGTGCTCATGGCACAATTGCGGGATTACTTGCACACTGCAGTACCAACTCCGTTGATGGACGCCGGAGTGGAGGTTGTCGACCTTCACGCCTACATTGCGAAGATCGACCGCGAGTTCAAGACACAACGGTACGACGACATCGACACACCATTGTTGTACATACGCATTCAGATCGGAGAGGCGACCTACAACGCTTTGATCGATTGCGGAGCTACACGCAACTACATGAGCCAAGACTTTATGGTACGCGCTGGCCTTGGGCCACTCGTTCATAGGAGGTCGCAGCCCACGCAAGTCACGTTGGCCGACGGTCACACGCACAAGTCAATCGACCGGTGCATTGATGCCTTCCCCGTGTACTTCGCCTCGCATGCAAGCGAGGTCGTGTCCTTCGATATTTTGGACACCAAGTTCGACATGATCTTGGGCATGTCATGGCTGCGAAGCGAGGATCACCCGGTGAACTTCTACCGCCGCACCGTTCACGTTCGCGATCGGAACGGAGTACTAGTCTCATGCACGGTGCTTCCTCCTCACCCTTCGATCAGCTGCGACGTGGTGTCCGCCGCAAGCATTCGAGCTTCCATCATCCGGGATGACATCGAGGAGATGGGGGTGTGTTTTCTCCACGCCCTCCGCCCCAAGACATTCCATCGACGGACTCACCACCGGATCCACGCATCACCGAGCTTCTCGACGCCTACGGCGACGTGTTCGAAACACCACACGGAGTAGTACCGGATTGGCCCATCCGCCACGAGATCATCCACGAGGACGGGGCCGTACCTCTGTGTGGTTGCATCGACCGCATGAGGGAGGAAGAGTTAAGTGTGCTAAGGGCACAACTCGACAATCTTCTCGAGAAAGGCTGGATTCGACCTAGCTCTTTGCCATACGGTGCTCCCGTTCTCTTCGTCCGAAAGAAGAACAAGGAGCTACGATTGAGCATCGATTATCGCAAGCTCAACGTGCAAACCGTCCAGAACGGCGGCCCTCTTCCGCGCATCGACGACCTCCTCGAACGACTGGGCGGCGCCAAGTTCTTCTCCAATCTTGACCTCCAATCGGGATATCACCAACGCGAGATCCGGCAGGAGGACCGCTACAAGACTGCGTTTAGGACGTGATATGGGCATTTCGAATGGCTGGTTATGCCTTTTGGCGTTATGAATGCCCCGGCCACATTCCAAGCGACTATGACAACAGAGTTCCGACACATGCAGGATAGATTCGTACTCATCTACCTCGACGACATCTTGGTGTATAGTCGGAGTTTGGACGAGCATGTGGAGCACCTGCGCACCGTTTTGGAGCGGCTACGACAAGCCAAGTACAAAGCCAACCGCGACAAATGCGAATTCGCGCGGCAAGAGTGGGAGTACTTAGGACATTATGTGACGCCGCAAGGCATCCGTCCGCTTACGGACAAGATCGAGGCCATCCTCGTATGGACCGATCCCACCAACACCACGGACGTTCGTTCATTCATGGGGTTGGCAGGCTACTATCAACGCTTCATCACCGGGTACTCAAGGATTGCCGCACCTATGACGAGATTACAATCGCCAAAGGTGCCATTCGTATTCGATGATGACGCACGCCGGTCATTCCAGGCACTCAAGACGGCCAGCTCATGGCACCCGTCCTTAGCATCTATGACCCCACCTTGCCAATGAGAGTGACAATCGACGCTTCCGGCTATGGCATTGGGGCAGTCTTGGAACAACATGACGGCAACGACTGGCACCCTGTGGAGTATTTCAGCCACAAAGTGTCTCCCATCAATTCACTTGATGATGCAAGGAAGAAGGAGTTGCTCGCGTTCGTGATGGCTCTCAAGCGACGGCGGCACTTCCTCCTTGGGCGTCGTAGGTTCATATGGGTCACGGACAACAACCCATTGACCTACTACAAGACGCAGGATACGGTGAGCAGCACGATCGGACGATGGGTGTACTTCATCGACCAATTTGACTTAACACCAAAACATCTCCTCGGCCTCTCCAATCGCGCAGCAGGCGCACTATCGCGAAGACCCGATCTTTGCGCTATGACACATCATGCCTTCACATTTGACGAGGAACTCCAGCGACACTTCATCCGGGGCTATGAGTCCGATCAAGATTTTCGCCACGTTGTATGCGCAACTATCTTTGGATCACCCGCCGGCCAGCCATTATCGCATTGTCGACGTGTACTTGCTCCTCCACTCGACAGGCAAGGACTTATTGTGTGTCCCACGCGACCGTCATTTTCAGACTCGCCTTCTTGGTGAGTACCATGACTCGCGCCTTGCCGGCCATTTTGGAGTCAATCGCACTATTGCACGACTTTGGCAACGATTCTAATGGCCTGACCTCATTACCGATGTCACTCGGTATTGCGACTCTTGTGAAGTTTGCCGATGAAGCAAGTCCCGCAACCGCAATCCCTACGGCGAGTTGCCCCCGATGCCTATCCCACAGGAACCCGGCCTCTCCATTGCCATGGACGTCACCGGTTCGTTTCCCCGCGACCGGCTCGGGCACGACGACATCCTCACGGTCGTTGACCGTTTGAGTAAGTATGCACAATTTCTTCCTTGCAAGTACTACGCCACGGCTCCCGAACTTGCGCGCCTCCTACACACCAGCTGGATTTGCAGCCATGGCGTGCCGGAAGACATCGTCAGCGACCGCGACACTCGCTTCATGTCGGCATTTTGGACTTCTCTCATGCAGGAATCACGCACGAAGATGAAACCAAGTTCAGCTCCGCATCCACAAACGGACGGGCAAACGGAGTGGGCACATCAAACCGCTCAAATGATGCTTCGTACGCTCATCCGTCCGGATCGGAAGGATTGGGTTGACCGCCTCCCGACATCGACTTCGCCTACAACACTTCGTTGCATCCGGCGATCGGCGTAACTCCATTCGAGCTGCACCACGGTGGCCGGAAAGGCTGTATCTTCGCTGATCTTCTTCTCCCATGAATAACCGACATAGATGATGCTTGCTCCCCCGCTTCCGTTCGGAAGTACAGGGAATTGCTGGCTCAAGCCCGCGCGAACATGCAAAAGGCTAAAGTCCGCATGCAGCAGCAAGCCAACAGGCATCGCGTGCCATGTGCCATCCGCGCCGGTGATCTGGTGTGGGTCTCCGCGGAAGAGTTTGCACTCGAACATGATGTTTCACGCAAACTGCTTCCCAAGTGGTTTGGACCATGGCCCGTAACATCTGCCGCGGGCGATCAGCCTGATGACCCCTCATTTGTGATCAACATTCCCCCGCATCTGTCCATCCAGTCTTTCACGCCTCGAAGCTGGCAACATATACACCAGCCAAGAGCGACGACTTCCCGGGCCGAAGATCGCAAGATCCTCCATCTATGGATGGTCATTAGGAGGTTGACCGCGTCATCACGGATCGCAAGTATGGCAGCAAGCCTCGACAGTACAAAGTGACATTCAAAGCATGCGATCCCGACGACACTCGGTGGATTTCAGGAACAGATTTGAAAGCATCCGCACCATTGATCTACGGTCACTACGAGTGACAAAGGTTAGCTGAGGGACCTTCATTACCTGCCCCTCCCACCCGGACTGTGGTCCCTCCCTCAGACAGACAGCTTCGCCCTCGCAGGTAAGCTCGGTCTTTCAAGGAGGGGGGGGTGTGGCATACTGTGCAGCCACATGGGCCTGCAGGGGCTGTCCCGCAGTCTCAGCCTAAAAACCTAGAAACAAGGGCTTACAGGCCCCGTGTCGTTTCAGCCTGAAAGACTGAAAAACGAGCGCCTGCAGGCCCTATGTCGTTTCAGCCTAAAACATGGCCTTTCCCTGAGTCTTTTCAGCCTGAAACGGAGGGCCACTTTCGGGCCCTCATAAGATCGACCTGCCCTAAAACTCAGGCACCAAACCAGGGTTTCGGAACAGGCTATTTTTGGCCTGTTCACCACGCCAGCCTCAGCAGGATCTGCAGCGGCAGGCCCTGGCTCACTTCGGCATTGGCAAGAGCAGCCTCCTGGACTGCCCCGCCCTGCAGCTGCANGGCATTGGCAAGAGCAGCCTCCTGGACTGCCCCGCCCTGCAGCTGCAGGCAGTCATGAGGCAGGCCGAGTACTACATAGGGAGTTCCCATGCACTTCACGGGAAGTCGAAGGCCGAGGCAGTAGTAGTCTTCAGGATTCGGCAGCGGCACTCTGGAGGAGCGCTGCAGGAGTAGCTTAGCGCTAGCAATAGTCTTCAGCGCTGGGCGCTAGTAGCAGTAGCGGTAGTCTTCAGCGCTGGGCGCTAGTAGAGGTAGAGGAGGTGAGAGAGAGATGGCTGGCGGAGGCCAGGGAGACTTACCTGTGGTGCCATAGTTCCAGCTTCATCTTCAAGGTACCTGCATCAAGGCGCCAACTTCACAGTTAGTACCGGACTGAGAGAGAGAGAGAGAGAGAGAGAGAGAGAGAGAGAGTTCTTCTTCTTCCTCTTTTGAGTCCACCATCTCTTCTTCACCCTCTCACTACCTGACTTCTCAGTATCCGTGGACTACGACAGAGAGAGAGAGAGAGTTGTGACTTGAGACTTGACGACATTGGATCCAGACTCGACATTGCGTATCCCCTCTTCTTCGTCTAACCCCCCTCTTCTTCGTCTGTGTATGGTTGGGGAGTGGCACATTCTTCCTGTGTGAGCGCCAGGCCCCTTCACACCATGGAGTGATGATGATGATGTATGTTCGGGGCTGCATTCCAATATTGATTGTTCGGATCATTGGTATCTAAGTCTTCCGCTACGCTATCTTGTACTTTGTGAGAGAGGTTGGTTCTTGTTCTGGTCTGCACCGCTACAGTATGCAACAAACAGTGCGTGAGGAACAGTGAGCGAGGAACAGTGCAAGAAAAGAGAGAGAGAGAGAGAGAGAGAGAGAGAGAGAGAGAGAGAGAGAGAGAGAGAGAGAGAGAGAGAGAGAGAGAGAGAGAGAGAGA